CCCCAGAAGCACGGCCTCGTAATACCCCAGGCCGCTCCCAACCCACCTCCACGATTCTCCCCCCATCCTACGGAGGAGCTGCCTTTCCTGGAAGTTCTCTACTCGACCCCTGCCGAGATGCACAACAATCACATGGGGTCAGCCATGGATTCACTCTCCACAATCCTTCTTCGGTCCTCTTCCGCAGCTGCAAGACGGTAATTTGATAAGAAAACGTCTCTCTCGTCCTGTGAAAAGGTCCGTAGTTCTTTTCTTGGTAAAAGCTTGGTTACGTCGAGTTCCACTTAAGTTCTAGGGCTCAGCTGCATGTTGCATTTTCCATCTGCAGATAACTCTTTTTTTCTCTTCTCCTTGCTCAGTATCAGTGTCTCTTCTGCTTTGTCTGCAGAGAAAAGTTCTTGCCTGTGAATACGTCTACTGGTCATGGCGAGTGGCCCTCGTCGAAATACCCCGTCTAATCTTCGTATCCCTCCTACCACTGTTGAGTGGACCGTTACAAAGACCGACAACCACGATACCAAGATGGGCACTCCGTTGGGCTCGCCAACTCTAGCAGCCTCGACGGCAAAGTTCAGAAACAAGGTCCCAGCCCAGATGCAAAGATGTTTACCACTGTACATGGCATGTGTCATTGTCCTCTTCATCATCCTTAACTTCGACATCTTCTACTCTATACCCAGCCCCCTCGGCGTGTTCCGAAAAGAAAAAGAGATTGTATCAACACCATCACGCTTTAGCACGTTTCCACAAAAGATTTGGCAAACGTGGAAGGTCGATCCATTAAACTTTGAGGATCGTGACTTGATTACTTCAAGGACGTGGGTCAATAAGAACCCTGGAATGCGATATGAAGTTCTCACAGACGACAATGAGCTTGCATTTGTGGAGGAGCACTTTGGTGCGGGGAGTGCGATAAATCGACCGGATATTGTCAGGTTTTACAAGAGCATCAACTTGCATATTATCAAGGCTGATCTATTGAGATACATGATCATGTACGCTCAAGGAGGTGTCTATGCAGACATTGACGTCGAAGCGCTGAGGCCTGTGCATCGTTTTATCCCCGAGCGGTATGACGAGAGGGACATTGACTTGATTGTCGGTGTTGAGATTGATCAGCCGGAGTTCAGCGATCATCCTATCCTAGGCAAGAAATCAAAGTCTTTCTGCCAATGGACTATCATTGCAAAGCCTCACCAGCCAGTCATGCTGCACCTCATCGAGCATATCATGGTTTGGCTCAAGGCTGAAGCAATGAAGCAAAAGGTTGCTCTTGGAGATATCGAGCTTACCTTTGACCAAGTCATCAGCGGCACTGGTCCTTCTGCCTTTACAGGAGCTTTGCTGGAGCAGATGCGCAAGAACCATCGTGGTGGAAAGGTCACATGGGATCTATTCCACAACCTGGATGAGTCCAGAGTTGTCGGTCGGGTTCTTGTTCTCAACGTCGAGGCCTTCTGTGCTGGACAAGGCCATTCAGACTCTGGTAACCACGACTCTCGTGGAGCTTTGGTCAAGCACCACTACCATGCCTCCAATTGGCCCAGCAAGCATCCTCGCTACCGTCATCCAGCATACGGCCAGGTTGAGGACTGCAACTGGAACGTGGAGTGCGTGAGGCTCTGGGACGAGAACGTGGCTGAGTGGGATAAGCTCTCGGAGGAAGAGAAGAAGCTGAAGATTGAGCAGGCCAAGAAGCCTGATCTTGGTCTATGAATATGACCTCAAGAGATTGATTGATATTTAGAAGTGCTCTGGAGATCGGCGTTGAGTTTGAATTTCGGAACCCGGATACCTGAGGTCGTATAAACGCGTAATTGATGAATGAGACCAAGTTAAACTCTATAACCGCCTGATCAGGCCGTTATCCAATGATTGCAGCCCGTGAAAAGTGCCGTCTCTATATAACAAGCCTCGCATTCCTTGCATCTGCGACCGTGGCTTGGCGCATGTTCTAGGAGCCGAGGCATCGACAAGGGTAGACCAACTCTATTCGGGGTGATTCAACCCCGCGCGTCCCGAACCTCCGTCTTCATATTCTGCGCGTCTGCGCCGCTTCTCTCTCTTTTCCAAAAACACAATCATTCAATTCAATCATGGCTTCTCAAGAGAAACAACCCGTCATCATCGTCGGCGCTGGCCTGGCTGGCCTCGTCGCTGCTTTTGAACTCTCAGAGCGCAAAGTCCCTGTTCTGCTGGTCGATCAAGAAAATGAAAACAACATCGGCGGACAAGCTTTCTGGTCGCTGGGTGGCTTATTCATGGTCGACTCTTCGTATCAGCGAAGAATGGGGATCAAAGACTCCAAGGAGCTGGCCTACAGAGATTGGATGGGCTCAGCGAGATTTGATCGTGAAAAGGAGGATTACTGGCCTCGTAAGTGGGCCAAGGCCTTTGTGGACTTTGCCGCCGATGAGATGGAGGATTATGTCAGGGCGAGAGGTCTCGGCTTCTTGATGAATGTTGGATGGGCTGAGAGAGGTGATGGTACTGCAGATGGCCATGGAAATTCCGTCCCAAGATTCCATGTCAGTTGGGGTACAGGACCAGAGGTCGTCAAGATTTTTGCAGACCCTGTCAAGAAAGCTGCAGAGAACGGCATCGTCTCCTTCAAGTTCAGACACAGAGTTGATGAGTTGATCATCGACGACAACGGACGTGCTGTTGGAGTACGAGGCACAATCCTGGAAGATGATGATGCTGCCCGTGGAGTCAAGTCGAACCGGGTCGAAAAAGACAAGTTTGAAATTTACGGCTCAGCTGTTGTCGTTTCTTCCGGCGGCATTGGAGGAAATGTCGACGCCGTCAAGGCTGCATGGCCTGTCGAGAGATTAGGCCCCAAAATCCCAGAGACCTTTGTCATTGGTGTTCCTCATCATGTCGATGGACGCATGATCGGCATATCCGAAGAGGCCGGTGCCAACGTCATCAACCGCGACCGAATGTGGCATTATACCGAGGGTCTCCAGAACTGGAACCCTATCTGGCCGGATCATGGTATCAGAGTCCTCCCTGCCCCTTCATCTCTTTGGCTCGATGCAACTGGCAAACGACTCCCACCATTCCTCTACCCAGGTTCCGATACCCTTGCGACGTTGAAGTATATCTGCAGCACAGGATATGACTACACCTGGTTCATCCTCGACCAGAGCATCATTGCCCGCGAATTTGCCCTCTCTGGCTCAGAGCAGAATCCCGATGTTACTAATAAGAGCATCTGGCTGCTTCTCACCCGCATCTTTGGCAAGAAAGGCACCGTCCCCGTCCAGAACTTTCAAAAGCACGGCAAGGACTTCGTTGTGCGCGATAATCTGGAAGATTTGGTAGTCGGTATGAACGAGCTCGCCAAGAAACGGAATGGTCCGCTACTGGAGTTTGACGCTATCAAAGAGGTGATCGAAACAAGAGACGGCCAGTTCAATAACCCATTCTCCAAAGACGCCCAAGCAATGCTTATCAACAACGCGCGAACATACTGGGCGGATCGCCGAAGCCGAGTTGCTCCACCTCATAGACTCCTTGACAAGGCCCATGGACCTTTGATTGCTGTGCAGATGAACATTCTTACGCGCAAGACACTGGGTGGTATTGAGACGAATCTGGATAGCAATGTCATGCGAGCAGACGGTACACCATTCCCTGGATTATACGCAGCTGGTGAAGTTGCGGGCTTTGGTGGTGGAGGCGTTCATGGGTACAATTCTCTTGAAGGAACGTTTGTTGGAGGATGTATCTTCTCGGGGCGTGCTGCTGGAAGGGCTCTTGCTCGTGAGATCTTGGGTGAGAATGATTCAGATGGAGGAGAGCTGAAGAAGGTGAACTCTCGCCTTTGAGCTGGTGATCAGGAAGGTCTTCTTTGTTTTGGCTTGAATTTAGCGCATTGTTCAAGTAGAGATACGTTTGATGTTGATAAAGGATCAGTATGAGTGAAATGATATGACATTCCTTTACGTCGCCAAGATAGTTGTCCCATATGCGTATGCCGTGAGATCAGCGTTTCGTTCATCTGCAAGGAACAGAACAGCTGTCATCATGCTGTAAGAATTTTATCTGCAAATGTAACCCGACCTTATGCACAAATTTGAGTCATTGTAACTACAGAATTTAACTAGAACCTCATATTGGATTCAGTAGACTGCCAAACAATTCGTCTTTTGGTCACTTCAGGGTAGTCAACATCTAACTCCATGGCTGAAACAACATCGGCCGGCATGGCCCTACCCGAAGCCAAGCGTCGGAGTGGCGCTTGAACCCATGGATATCCATGGCTAGGGCTGACTGGTTACAGGGATCATTGGGCGTCTAAGCTCCAGCTTCGGCCTGGCTAGCTTGGATCGCGTGGCTTGGTGAAATTGTCCCTCAACGGCGGTGATTGTTTATTTTCATAATACGGTTGATTTTAAGCTTCATGCGTAGAAACTAGATCTGATTACAGTAGAAGCTCATAAATATGAGGATGTTTGGTCAGTGGCTTAACTCATTGATCCGAAAACTCTCCCCCGTCGGGTATCTCAACATATCCGTGCTATCGCCACTAACTCAACTTCAATTTCCCGTCGGTGCAGCCTCAGTCGGACTCTCTTATAAATCCGCTCCCAATCCACGCCATTAAATTAATTTTGGTATCAGAAGGATCCGAGCTAGTGGTCTCGAGTGTAAGAAAGCGGAACTCCTGTCTATAATCTCACCGTCTCACTGGACAACACCCCGGCCCCTAAAATTTCCCCTTCAACGCTAAGACAAGGATCTTCGCCCATCGGGGCTGAGTGATGAAACAGAGACTGAACTGAGCAACTGAGCGTGGTGGTGTCTCCCCTTCTATCCGTACTGCCTTTTCTCTTCTCTGCTTTTATCATCTTGGTCTGTTGATGACTGGGTGGCCAACAGAAATCTCGTGATAGCCTCTTGTTAAGGATCGCGAGGCTGAAAAGTTCTGATATTCTTTGAGAGAAGCTCTATTATAACGACATAATGATCGCCATCTTACCCTTCACCGTACTGCTGGGCAGCTTTGCCGCCAGAGTTGCTGCTGACACCAGTTTTATCACCCCTGGAGGATCTGGTTCTTCGGGATGGAAGAATAACCCAACATACGATGTCGATGATAGCATGAATGTGGAATGGAATACGGACCTTGAAGAGACCAACCTATTGCTCTGGCAGGATTATCCTCAGGCGGGTGGCGGCACTCAGTTCTTCGTCCAGCTGAAAGGTACAAACGCACGCGTAGACTCTCCGAGGTTCTTATCAGCTAACATCTGATGCCTAGAAAACACAACATCGACGAGTTTCATCTGGACAGTCAACTTTGGCGGCTTCTCTACAGAAGTCGGTGACGACCGCGACGCTGTTTTCCACTACTCCCTCTTTAAGTCTGGCACAAACGACATCGTCGCCAACTCAGCTGCGTTCAACGTCACTGTCCCCAAAGACGAGACGACATCCGCCTCTCTTGCTTCAACAACTGCCCTCCCGAGCCCTTCTTCGACTGGTGCCCTCTCTGAGACAACGACGACCGACGCTGCGACCGAGACAACAACAGAGACTTCCTCAGACAAAGATGATGGCGGCCTCTCCACTGGTGCTGTTGCCGGCGTGGCGGTCGGCGCGACCATCGGAGGCATTGCCCTGCTCGCTGGTGTAGGCTTTCTTCTCTGGCGACATTTCCGTAAAGGCAAAGGTGCTACAGCTGGAGGATACGCGCCGCCCAGCGAGATGCCTGTTGGTTCGCAGAACCAGCCTGTGCATGAGTACTACAAACCTCCCACGCAGCAGGCTCCGGCTGAGATGGCTGGTCAGCCCTGGGTTCACCCATCCCAGAACGGATACCAGGGACCTGGTGGTCTTCACGAGGCGCCTTAATCCATGGATGAGATGGAAGTAGAGGGGCAGTGTTTCGCCTAGGGGCAAAAAGGGTTCAAGATGTTGTATAGCAAAGCATGGAGTTGATTGGTTCAGCCGGTTATATGCTTCTTAATTACTCCTTTAGATACCAAGAATTTATTGAACAATATCGTTGCTTCATCGAAGCTAACTGTGAGTGATGAGCTGTAGCGAATGTGACATGCATGTAGCCTTCCACATAATGCTTCACACGAAAGGGAGGTATCAACGCCAAGTTCCCCCATAGTATCATCAAGAACAGCCTAATATTTAATTAATAATTCCGTTCATTTTTCATCTCAAGATCATTTGCGAGTTTCCTTTCCCTCTCCTTCACGTCATCCGTCACACTATCCCCAAATTCATCCAACTCAGCAATCTTCCTGACCGTAACCTCACCCTCCCTGAATGGAATATTCTTCGCCCAACTAACGGCTTCTTCGCCGTCTTTGGTCTTGAGAACCCACCAGCCACAAACGTGACCTTCTTTCACAACATCAAAAGGCCCCCTGGTGACCTGTGCAGGACCATCCATGGAGTATGTAACGCGGTAGCCATCTTTGGTTGGACTGAGGCCATCGGCTGAGAGAAGAACGCCGGCTGCGTGAAGCTCATTGTTAAAGGTGGTCATTTCCTTAAAGATCTCGGGCCCAGTGGAAGTTGGGTTTTCAGCTTCTGGAGAAGCTTTGATGAGGATCATATATCGAGGCATGATGTGTGTGCTCAAAATGATACCTATGAGGTTTGAAAGCTAATGAGCAATTACGGGAACGAGGTTCTTGTAAGTGACGATTCAACGGGAGCACGCCCTTCTATGTACAAGTTGAGCTTCAGCCCTTTCCATAAGACCTGGTAAGCTGAGGCGCTTTTGGACCAAGACTATTGGCGAGACTCCGTCGATCGTCACCGTTGCGGTGACTCGGAGTTCAAAAACAACACTATACTCAGTGGCGTTCATGGCCCAATGACAACTAAGCAATGACCAGTTGCTGCCTGTTGCGAGGACGAAAACCGAAGAATGATAGTAGGTAATTGCACGATAGGAAAGGACCTTGATGGGAAAGAGCTCGGTGAGATTTCTTATCCGTAATGGCACTCATGAAGACGTCCAGCAAGCTATGGGACCTTTCTTCACGGGCATCGTGAAGTATGGGGTATGATACTCAAACGCCACAGACGTGTTAGGCTTCGTACTTCGTATCCCGATAAATGAAACCAACAAAAATCTCTTTATGGTAATTCTCAAATTATCAAAAAAAGTCTAACATTCAGCTTTCATGAGTTCTTGTGTACGTGATGCTGCATCGCTTGGCAGCCATGATGGCACGCCGTTGGAAATCGGTTGAGCGTTCAACAGCTAAGACCGAGTATATATGATACAATCAGCCCAGTCAACCAATTTATTGTTCCATTACATTGGTTCAAGGCGTGTCTTTTGCAGCAATCATAGTCTAATGTCCCAGTACACTTTGGTGGTATCCTGCATCTCATAAACCATGATTCTGATATGGCACCAATGCTATGGATCACTCTACATTGAAAAACTCGTATATGTTGCATGGAGAATTTGAACAAGTCGTGTAATCTTTCCTCGCACCATTCAGCCTCTAATGACGTGCTTGGCCGAAGTTCAGATAATGGGTCGACATGTCGATTTCAGTGGGCATGATAAACCAAGATAGGAAGCTGGAGTGTTTATCCTTGATAAATCACTCCACACAACGTGGGACCCGTTGGCTTTAAGTGAATAGGATGCGATGTCGACATTTTCTTTTCGTCAGACCAAAGATATAAATATTACACCCCACCAACAGGTTACCATGACGGCTACTCTTCATGCAAACTCGCCCGCTCTCTTGATGAACTATGGCAGATGACAAGGCCATCGTACCAGCTCCCATTGGAGCTGATGAGCCAGATTCTTCCGACAACTCGGTCAAAAATACCGATGCTGCAGTAAACGACATTCCAAAGCATGACCATCATGTTCACAAAGACGGAGCAGATGCTGCCCTTGACTTGTTGAACGAGACGGGCGGAGTCAGTCAACCTTTCGATGCCAAAGCCAACAAACGACTCATCCACCGCATTGATACTCACATCATGCCTCTCATTTGTACCGTCTACTTCTTACAGTATATCGACAAGACTGCAGTTTCTTACGCAAGCGTTACTGGCATTCAACAATCAACTGGTCTGAAGGGAAATGAGTTCAACTGGGTCGCTTCGATTTTCTTCTTCGGTCAACTCGGCTTTCAGTTCCCTACTGTTCGTCTTCTTCAAGTATTCCCTCTCGCCAAGTACGTGTCAGTCAACGTTACACTATGGGGTGTGACTCTCGCTTGTATGGCGGCATGTCATAATTTCAGCGGTCTCCTCGCCTGCCGATTCTTTCTTGGTGCCCTTGAAGCCGCCATTGTCCCAGCCTGGGTCCTGTTCACATCCCAATGGTACACCAAAGAAGAGCAAGCTTTCCGAGTCGGTATCTGGTTTTCAGTCTGCGGTGCGGCTCAAATGTTTGGTGGATACTTTGCTTACGGTGTTGCAACCCACGTTGGCAAAGATCCAAATGCTGCTTTGAAAGGATGGCAAGTTATCTTTCTCGTCCTTGGTCTCCTCACTGTTGTGGTCGGAATCAGTTTCTGGTTCATCATGCCAGATTCTCCTGCCGTTGCTGGATTCCTGGATAAAGAGAAGAAAGCCATGCATCTTGAGCGTATACGAGGAAATGTGCAGGGCATTGGTACGCAGACGTTCAAATGGGCTCATGTCAAGGAGGCTTTGACTGATAGTATGACTTGGCTATATGCCTTCTGGGTCTTTGCTGCCAACATTCCCAACTCTATTGCTACCAGTTTCGGAAACATTCTTGTTAAAGGTATGGGATATACCAATGAGGAGTCTCTGTTGCTGGTTACTCCCCTCGGAGCTTGGGAGATTGTCTTCCTGATTGGCCTTACTTACGGAGCTATGAAGACAAGACAACGATTGTTCTTCTGTATAGCTGGCCACATTCCCGCCATTATCGGAGCCATCTTGATGGCAACCACAGAAAAAGTTCCCGCCTTGATTGGATATTACACAACTGGAGGCATCCCCATTGGCTGGACTACTATTCTCGGACTACAGAGCTCAAACGTGGCTGGCTCTACCAAGAAAATTACCGTCTCATGTATCGGAACTATCGCATATACTGTTGGAAACATCATCTCACCTCACACTTTTCAAGCTCGTGATGGACCACGATATCTTCCCGCCAAAATCTCCATCTGCATTATTTACTTCCTTTGCACCATTGACTTGCTCGTCATGAGATGGGTCTTTGATCGAAGGAATAAGAAGAGAGATGCTGAGAAGGCTGCGCTAGGCGATCAATACAGAGTTGAGGAGAACCACGAGTTTCTGGATCTGACGGATCTGGAGAACAAAGAGTTCCGCTACGAGCTGTAGAAAAAGGTTACCAAGATCATAAACTTTTGGACAAGGCTTTATGAGTCTGTCTCTAATGTAATCCTCATGTAGCTCGAATACAACGAGACATTATGCAGTCTATTCATTGGCATAACATAAAAGTAAGGGGACCATACTATCATATTCTGCAGCCTTTGGACTCAATTAAATGGAGTGGCTTGGCTACCTTCAGCAGTTTAATGACTTAGCTGAGCCTGAACGTTGGAGATTCTTGCTATTGGAATTTGTAATCCTGTTTATCCTTTTGAGGCTATTTTCCTTTAGATATATCTACTCCGGAATCTTGTGCTCACTTGCAGGCACGCCAGCAGCCCACCTATACTTGGACGCAGCATGCTCATCAAGAGGATACCTCTGCCCCGGAAGGCCATAGAAGTTCTCTCGGTAGCTGCCACCAGGTACTGCGTAATCGTCCCAGAAGAGACCCCTTGATCGAAGTTCAGGGAGCAGCAGTTCGATGATATCTTTGAAGGTACCCGGGAAAAGAACATAACCCTCCTCATAGTTAGTAAGGCCCCATGATTAGGGGTTGATGAACTTACAAAGTTGAATCCATCGACGTCTGCCTCATCAATCCAGACTTGCAGACTATCAGCTACCTGGGAGGGAGTACCAACGAATAGAGGCCCGTTGCCTCCTAGGCTGACATGCTCGGCGACAGTATGCTTCGTCCACTTTGAGTTTGCGGGCGAGAACTTGGCATAGCCTTCTACAGTTGATCTGAAGAACCATATGAGTTGAGGCACTTTGGGATTATGAGGACGAAACTTACCGGACAGCATTACTTTCAACCTGTCGAAGCTCCTCATCATCACCGTACTGGTTCAAGTCCATACCAGTCCACCCACCGAACAGGGATAGAGCACCTTCAGTCGAAGCATACTTCTTCGCTTCATTGTACTTAGCCAAAGCTTCCTCCTCAGTCCTACCAAGAATAGGGGTGACAAGAGCGAGGACCTTGATGTTGTTTGGATCTCGGCCAAACTGTTCCTTCGCAACTTGTCGGATCTCCGCAATGTTCTTCTTACACACTGCAGGTGCATGCGCAGAAGTAAAGATAGCTTCAGCATGCTGTGCTGCAAAGGCTTTACCTGGCTTGCTGGCTCCTGCTTGAAGAAGGAGGGGTGTTCGCTGCGGGCTGGGGTCCACGACGTGAGGACCGGGAACGTTGAAGTATTTACCGTTATGGTCGATTTGACGAACAAGGGCAGGGTCCGTGTAGATACCCCGCTCACGGTCTAGCTTGACAGCGTCGTCACGCCAGGATGAGTTGAAGAGCTTGTACATGACTTCCATGTATTCTTCGGCCTGCGCATAGCGTTCATCGTGCTAACTGTCGTTAGAAGCTGAATAATTACTCCGGGAAGATCACTTACGGCGAGTTGAACTGGATGACCAAGGTTGCGAGCGGCTGAGTCTAGGTAACCAGTGACAATCTGTACGTCTTATTAGTGGTGACCGTGAAATGAGACTCGACGTTCTTACGTTCCAGCCCAAACTGTTGAAACGTTAGTAATTTTCCACAGCAAATTATAGAAAACTTACCGGCCCTTTGTGAGGTGATCGACTGTGGATAACCGCCGAGCAAGATGATATGGCTGCTCATATGTAACAGAAACAGTCGCACCAAATCCAATATTCTTAGTCGCAGCAGCCATGGCAGGAATAACGGCCAATGGCTCCGTAAGAGGCCATTGAGCTCCTGAAATGATAGCAGGTTCCAAGGACTTCTTGTAAACATCGTAGCCTCCTATCTCAGTTGTCAGAACTCTGAAAGCTACCCCTCATGACCCAAGTCACTTACCCAACACATCAGCGATAAAGATGCCATGGAACTTGGCGTCTTCTAGCAACTTGGCCAATTCTACCCAGTGCTCAGTGTCCTTGAACCTCCAAGACTCATCTTCAGGGTGCCTCCATAATCCTGGCGATTGATGACCACTGCCTAAAGCCTTATCAGTACATGTTGCATGACTGGGATGAGGGGCACCTACACATCATGACAAAGGCATTGACGATAAGGCTCTTCTTCTTGCCCTGCTGGGCGGTCTGATCTTGGGAAGCCATGACGTTGACTGTAGAAAATGGAAGTGATCTGATTGGATTATGCCTGACTTCGTTGTTTAGGTGGTGATGTACCGGTTCCCAGCTTATTCTTCTTTTAAGACGCTCCGGATATCGGTGCCGATACAGGACTTCCAGACGACTATTGCGTGATTGCTAGGCCCATGACTGAATATG